CAGCGCTGCGGCCCCGCTGCTCACTCACCTCCGCTCCGCGCCCCCACGGCCCGCTATGGAGCTCGCAGACAGGTGCAGGGCTGCGGGCCGGGGGAAGGGGGGGCCGCGTGCCCCCTCCGCGCTCCTTCTGCCCCGCGCTGCCCTAATGCTTCTCTCCCCACAATGTTGTTTCATTATATCATGTCCATCATGTGACACCCGCAGGCCTCTCGATGGAAACTTAAAGGGGACTTTCACGTGACGATGCCGGACCCGACGGCACCTCCGGGCCTCCCCCGCCCTCGGGGCTCCACCGCCCGCAGCCGCGATGCTGTCGGGGTCGCGCTCCCCGCACCGCGCGGGCTCCTCGAGCCCCAGCAACTCACTTCCTTCTCCCTACCCTTATCATCCCTGTTTTTCCCCATTTCCCTACCCGTATCGCTACTATTTCCCCCCCCCCCCCCCCCCCTTTCCCTATCATCACTATTTCCCCCTTTCCCCTATCCTTATCCCTCCTATTTTTTCCCCATAGCATTACTATTTTCCCCTTATCCGTACCCTTATCACTACTTTTTTTTTTTCCCAAAAAAAAACCTTACCATTGCTATTTTTTCCCCTACCCTTCTCACTACTATTTTTCCCCTTATCCGTACTAATTTTTTCCCCGTCGCTATTACTGCCGGTTATTTCATCCCTCCCCACTCCCCGCTTTGCTCTCAGCATCCCGCCCGCCTGGCACCTTGCGCAGCGCGGACGCAGCCTGCGGCTGCGGGATCCAGCGCGGCTCCGCTCGGCTGCGGCTCCGGTGCTGAAGTGGCAAAAACTTGTTTGTGCCAGCGAGGAGGCAGAGGATGCGAGCAGTGCCATTGCTGTGCTGGTGCACAGACTTGGTGCGTTGCTTGCAAGCGTGCTTTTAGATCTGCAGCTCAGCCGGCTGATGGAAAAACTATTTAGCGAGGAGCTAATCTGTAACAACATCAGCTTTCTAACACGGGGCAGCGTTGGAGATGTTTGTAGGGAGAGATGCTTTAAGGAGTGATGCCTGGTAGTACCCTAGCGCAATCCTGCACGCAAACAGACGTAACAAAAAAGGCAATAAGATGACATTTTCCACACTTTGGGGAGACCCGGTCCCACGCACGCGGCGGGGGTCTCCCGGTGGAGCCCCGCTGGCGGCCGGCGCTGCAGAGGCTGCTGTTCTGCCTTCAGTGCTGAAGTGGCTTCGGCTCGAGCTGGTGCCCCAAGGGTGGTGGGAATGGGGCTAAAGCCCACCCGCTCCGCGCACCCATTTTCAGTCCGTTGCTCCACAGTGAGACTCCTGTGATGTCCGGGCGATAAGATGGTCTGCTGGTCCCTTGGGAGTTGCCCAAATTCGGCTCACAAATTCATGATGCTGCAGCAGTGTTTGCAGCTGAGTGTGAGATTCAGGGGACTGGCTGGAAGGCTATGCATTTCACAATTAAAATACCTCAAGAAGGTGGTTGGAACTGAAATGGGCTCCCTGAGACACTGGTCATGGTCCTAAGTTGCTGGGGTTCAAAAAGTGTCAGGACAACACTCTCAGCCGTATGGTCTGATTTTTGGGTGGTTCTGCATGGAGCCAGGAGTTGGACTCAATGATCCCTTATGAGTTCCTTCTAACTCAGGATATTCTAAGATTCTGTGGTTCTAAAAGGAGGGTTGAGGACGCATTGCCACATTTGTTTCCTTACAGCCTTTCCTGAAAATCACAGCCCCTCAGTGATTCAAAGCATGACCCACAGCTCTGAGAACAGGGTTGGAATACAATTTATTCCATTTATTCAACATCTCATGGGGTTCTCTTGAAGGGACCACGTTTGCCACCTCAGGTTGACACCAGTGCCCATCAAGTGCCCCTGAGACATGGTGGCCCAGCCCTGGTATGGGAGCAGAGCTGCTTGGACAGGCCCTGTCCCGGTCCTTCCATTCTCCTGCTGGGAGTTTTGGAGTTGGAATATTTTTGCTTAACTCCATTACATTCAGCGTGCCCACACAAGGAGCTGTATATTTAACCGATAAGTATTTCTGATACTTGATTTTTTTAGTCATCAAGGTTGGAAGAGACCACTGAGATCATCCATCAACACATCCCCACCATGCCCACTAACCCTGACCCTCAGTGCCACATCTGCCCTTTTCATGAACACCTCTAGGGGTGATGACTCCACCACCTCCCTGCGCAGCCCATTCCAATAATGCTTCCCTATATCCATTACAGCTTGTGTTTGCTCGTCTGCTCTTCCCTACCAAGTTTTGCACTGTTCTCTATCACTCTTTCTGCCATAATATCCAGGCTGTCCCACTACCATGGATTCTAGCTCCAGTATTCCTCCCTTTCCATTTCTTTGATGTTTATCTGCCTACTCCATTAAGCTTCTTTTTATTCCCTCCTCAAGATTGTTCTTAAAGGAGAAAGAGGCTGGAACTGGGATACAAATTAGTCTCCTCGGAGCGCTGCCAGAACCAATCACTTTTACACTGCTGCTGCTGCTGCTGTTCTGCTGTGTCATGGGAAGAGAGTTACCTCGCCATGCAAACCCTTGCAGACATGGGGGCTGCAGCAGAGACCTCCAACCAAACTGCTCGCTGCGGAGCCCAGCCCTGCTTTGCAATGCTGAGCTTCACCCGGCGCAGGATTTTGGCTCAGAGAAAGCATCGCTCTCCTCCCCTGCTCTGATGGGAAGATTTGCAGGAGGCAGAGCAGCAGCAGCAGCCACAGCGTCATGCGGCTGTGTTTCATTTTGTCAAGCCCAGATGCTTTAGGTTTCAGCTGAGTAGAAAAGTAAAAGGATGCATTTCTGTAAAAACTCACTTTTTCACCATGTTTGCTCTGAATTCTTATAACAAGGTCTTGGACTAAGAGAGCAAGGATTCTGCCTCTTCTTAAAAGCATTGCTTGTTATAAAATCTTTACAAGCTTGGCTCTGAGCTTATTTGCTTTAAAATCTTATTTTCGAAAATGTGTGGTTTAAATATAATTCTCTCTCTTTCTCCCAAGCCCATCTTCCTTGGAAAGGCCCAGAGGAGCCCAAGGCTGTGTCTGGCTGTGAATGAAAGAGGTCTGAATAAACGGTGGCGTGCACACACACGTGCATACACATGTGTGCATGCGGGATTTAAGGCATCCCGTTGAAGTGAACATATAGGAAAATCCATCGGCATGTGATAGGCTTTAATATCTGCCTTGAAAGTAATCCCTAACTGATGGAGTCTGTCTGT